AAAGTCCTGTGCTCTTTTTAAAATTACATTTTCAACCTACTTACAATGATTTATAAAGCCTGAGGCCTTTATGCTGCACGTCTTTTTAACTGTATCCTCTATTTTGTACAGCTATTATTTTGTATTGCCAAATTGTGATATCATTTGGTTAATTGTGAATGCTTCAAAACAATTCAGTAAACTTCTTTGCTCTTTGTTGTCAGGATGCAAGTGAATCTGACAAGGTCATATTGTTTGACCATCCCTAGTTGATTGGAATGCAACTGAGTCACTGGCTAGGTCTATTCATTTGGGATTAAAGGCCAGTTAAAGAATTTGGGACAGAAATGAGTTGGTGAGACTGAGTAAGGGAGTGAAACCTTTGAGGTTTTACAATCGAGCGATCTTTTTTAGTGCCAGAATTACTGAAGTTAATTCACTACTTGTCATGGTGGGGATTAAATTTTGCAACCTGAGGGTTGGTAATCTAGTAATATGATACAATATTATCATAACTTAATGATATATTCTTCAAACATTGGAGTCGGTATTTGTCAGGAACCTTGAGCACCTTCACTTGTTCCTATGTTCCTGATATTATTATGGATCTGTTAGAGACCCAAGATTACACTGCTGTTCAACCCTAGGTGAATTTGGGGTTACTGTACATGCCAGAAAATTTGATTTATTAAAGCATTTTGTTAAGGAGTTGTGCATAAAAAAAGACAGTACGGCTTTTCATAAACCCAAAAACAAAAGCAAAACAACTACTAGGAGTCAGAAGTAGTTAGAAATTGCTGAAAATTCTCAGCAGGTCAGGAGAGAAACAGAGTTAATGTTTCAGGTCAATGACCTATTTTTATTTGCTATAAACACTTCTTCTCTTTTTTACTTTTTTTTAATTCCTTCATGGATGTGGGTGTCATTAGCTATTTTCTTTATTCATTATTTTCTTTATTCATTAACAAGATGAGGGCATCACTGGCTAGGCAGCACTTATTGCCCATCCCTAACTGCCTAGAGGGCAGTTAACAGTCAACCACATTGCTATGGGTCTGGAGTCACATGTAGGCCAGACCAAGAGATAGCAAGATCCGCAGATGCTGGAGTCAGAGTCAATACAGTGTGGAGCTGGAGGAACACAGCTGGTCAGGCAGCATCAGAGGAGCGGGAAAGTCGACGTTTCAGCTTTACACCCATCATTAGGACTAGGGAGGGGGAAGGTAGCTCGGAAATAAATGGAGGGAGTGGGGTGGGGCTGAGGGAAGTTAGGAGGGGTGGTGATAGGTGGATGCAGGTAGGGGGTGTTGGAGATTGGTTAGTGGGACCAGTGGGGCAGATAGGTGGGACAGAAGATGGACAGGTAGTGTCAGGTCAAGGAAGTGGGGATGAGAGGGAGGGAAGCATTCACCTTCATTCCCCTAAGCCCACACATCAACAAATTCCATACACGTATAGAAGTTGAACAAATTTTCCGCCGCCTTTGCCTCTGCATCTATTTCTTTAACTGTGAGTCTAACTCACCCTCTGCAGACCCTTTCTCCCGCCTCCAACAAACCCCAGCCTCCTGGACACCACCCCAAGGCCTCCTACCCTCCCTCGGCCTCTCCATTTCCAATTGCCATCGCAACATCGATCACCGCAATCTCTCTCCCCCTCTCACTCACTCCAAACTCTCCCCCATGGAACACGCAGCCCTCCGCTCCAACCCTAACATCACCATCAAAACCGTTGATAAAGGAGTGCACAGTGGTAGCATGGCACACTGAACTTCATATCACGGAGGCCAAACGCCAACTCTCTGACAGCTCCTCCAACTGTCCCCTCGATTATGACCCCATCCCGATCACCAAACCATCATCTCTCAGACCATCAATAACCTCATCACCTCAGGAGACATCCCATCCACAGCCTCCAACCTCATCATTCCCCAACCCAGCACCGCCTGTTTCTATCTCCTTCCCAAAATCCACAAACCTGACTGCCCTGGTCGACCTATTGTCTCTGCCTGCTCCTGCCCCACTGAACTCATCTCCACTTACCTCATCTTTGTCTTTTCCCCCCTGGTCCAGGAACTCCCCACCTACGTCTGGAACACCACCCACGCCCTCCACCTCCTCCAAAACTTCCGATTCCCTGGCCCCCATCCTCACCATGGACATCCAATCCCTGTAGCCCTGTATCCCCATGCAGATGGCCTAAAAGCCCTCTGGTTCTTCCTCTCCCGCAGGCCTAACCAGTCCCCCTCCACTGACACCCTCATCCGCCTAACCGAACTTGTCTTTACCCTCAACAACTTTTTCTGTAACTGCTCCAACTTCCTACAAACTAAAGGGGTGGCTATGGGCACTCGCATGGGTCCAAGCTATGCCTGCCTCTTTGTAGGATACGTGGAACAGTCCCTCTTCCGCTGTTAAACTGGCACCATCCCTCACCTCTTCCTCTACTACATTGATGACTGTAACGGTGCTGCCTCATGCTCCCATGTTCACCAACTTCACTAACACCTGTCACCCCAACCTCAAGTTCACCTGAACTATCTCCGATACCTCCCTCTCCTTCCTGGACCTCTCTGTCTCCATATCCGGTAACCGTCTCAGCACCGAAATCTGTTTCAAACCTACCAACTCCCATAGCTACCTTGGCTACACCTCCTCTCACCCATCCTCCTGTAAGAATGCAATCCCTCACTCCCAATTCCTCTGCCTCCGCCGCATCTGCTCCCAAGATGGAGCGTTCCACTCCTGGGTATCCCAGATGTCCTCCTACTTCAAGGTCCACAACATCCCAGCTCCATTGATTCATAATGCCCTCAACTACATCTCTTGTATTCCCTGCACTTCTGCCCTCAAACACCCTTACCCCAACAAAAATAAGGACAGAGTCCCCCTGGTCCTCACATACCCCCCCACCAACTTCCGCATCCAGCGTATCATTCTCTGCCACTTCTGCCACCTGCAATCTGACCCCGCAACCAAAGAGATATTTCCCTCCCCACCCCATTCCGCCTTTCGTAGGGACTACTCACTCTCTGACTCCTTGAATGCTCCACACTCCCCACCAACCCCACCACCCCCCGCACCTTTCCCTGCAACTGCAGGAAGTGTTATACTTGCCCCCACACCTCCCCTCTCATCTCCATCCAAGGCCCCAGACAATCTTTCCAAATTCAACAGGGATTCACCTGTATATCCTCCAACATGGTCTACTGTATCTGTTGCTCCCGATGTGGCCTCTGCATTGGTTAGACCAAGTAGACTCGATGACCAATTTGTGGAGCATCTGCACTCTGTACGTGACAAATGATAACACCTTCCAGTTGTCAGCCATTTTAACTCCACCTCCTACTCCCTTGGTGACAATTCCATCTGGGCCTCCTCCAGTGTCACAATGATGCCACATGCAAACTGGAGGAACAACACCTCATATTCCACCTCAGGAGATTACAGCCCAATGGCCTCAACATAGAATTCACCAGTTTTAAGTTCTCCCCAACCCCAGCCTCATTCCATATCCAACCCTCCCTCTCAAACCCCCACCTTGACCTGACACTACTGTTCATCTTCTCTCCCACTTATCCGCCACACCACTCCAACCACCCCCTACCTGCATCCACCTATCACCATATCACCTACCTTCCCCCAGCCCTAATCCCCTACCTCTATTTATTTCCGAGCTCCCTTCCCCCGGTAAACCCAAAACTTCGACTTTCCTGCTCCTCTGATGCTCCCTGACCTGCGTGTTTCTCCAGCTCCACACAGTATTGACTAGGCCAGATGAGGTAAGTATGGCAGTTTCCTTCCCTAAAGGGCATTAGTCTGACAATCGACAATGCATTCATGGTCATCATTAGATTCTTAATTCCAGATATTTATTGAATTCAAATTCCACCATCTGCTGTTGTGGGATTTTAATCCAGGGTCCCCAGAACGTTATCCATTTCAGTCCACGAATAATACCACTAGGCCATTGCCTCCCCAGTATTTAGGCCAGCATTTATTGCCATGCCTAATTGCCCAGAAGGAAATTAAGAATGGACCACATCACTGCGGATCTGGAGTCACGTGTCAGTCAAACAGGGTACGGATGGCAGATGACTTTCACTAAAGGATATTACGCGTAATTCAGTTGGAGTTTGATGACAATTGATGTTAAGCTAGCTTTTTTTGTTAAAAATCCCATTTTTTTAATTGAATTCAAGTTTCACCATCTTCTGTGGTGGACTCAAACCCGCAACCACAGTACATTAACCCAGGTTCTAGACTACCAGCTCTGTGTCATCAATATACCACCACCTTCCCAGTAATCCTAGTCTGAGCGATTACTCTCTTCTTCAAGTGAGGAAAAACTGTATGAACTCTCAAACCACAATGTATTCAACTGGCTATCTGAAATATTTTATGAATGGGATTTAATATTTGCAGAACATAAAAATGTATTACAATGTAGGGATTCGAAGTGGCACAGTGAGTAGCTCTCCTCCTCTGATCTGGAAGACCATGGGTTTGAGTCCCACTCCAGGACTTGTTAGTTATTTAAGTATCCAGCCACTGGTGTAAACACACCAGGGTGTATTGGTGCCAGCTGAAATTAATCAGGAGGATTAGCATGCAACAAAACCATCTGACTACAAAAAAAATTTGGCCAAATCCAAAATCAAATTATTATTGCTATGAAGGTGACCTCATGTAATATGGATGAAAGAAAGAAAAGAAGGAAAATTGTATTATAAAAAAGTTCTCCATGTTTTAAACATCTGAAGAATCAATAAATAACCTTTAATGTGTAATCTTACTGGCAGCTGTCCATTTATTATAAAATACTCAGAAAACAAATCCAAAAAAGTAAGCAACAGGACAAAAAGGAACATGGTATTCCTTTATTTGCTGTATCTCCATGTGAATATCTATAGGCAGACTTCCAGGTTTAATAAATGTACAATGCACAGGAAGATGAGGTATATTTTACTTTGAAAAAAGATTGAATAAATTCTATACTATTATTCGTTCTGTTTTATATAGGAGGTCAGATTGATGAGATTCTCTGCACAGAACCTGAAGATTTAAGAAGTAAAGACGTTATGAAAATCCCTCATGAATTATTCCAACCATGCTCCTCTGTTGAACATAAGCCACCTCATGCAGACTCTGGCCACAAAAGTCCTACTACACAAAATCTTCATGTCAAAAATGAAAATGACAATAATGCAGACTGTACTACAAAGTCCAAGCAACGAACAGGCAGCTTACGTCATGCTGTTGCCACAATTGTGATAACTGGTGTCATCTGTGGCATAGTTTGCTTAATGATGTTGGCAGCTGCGATTTATGGCTGTTCTTATGCAGCTCTTATGGCTAAATATCAAAGGGAACTAAAGAAACTGGAACATCTGGGTCCAGAGATTGAACAAGGAAGTGCTGAAGAGAAGGAGCCACTAGACGGTTCACTGCCATGAATTTTGACTTTCCGATTGCATTTAAAATATCATAATAAGCTAGAACCAACATGTCATAATGATGACAATCTATGATCAGCTTATGAATGCTTTCATAAATTAGCAGATATCTAATGTACCAGACTGCTTTAATTTATTGGAGCACTTTGGACCTTCAGAATTTTGCATGTAAATCTTTTAATGTATATCATTTAATGTATATATTAGTTTAGATTAACAGTGTCAATTATAAATAAGGTGTAGAATTAAAAGAAGAAAGGAAACATATGAGATTATTAAACACATTATGAAGAATGCTATGCATTCAATTATATAGTGCACGAAGGATCATTTGTCTTTTCCATTTAAACACATTAACTGTAACATACAATTTATTCTATTAGCAAATTAGTCTAATCTACAGCATTGTAACTGGGATTACATCGGTATCCTTTACTAAAGATACATTTCAGCAATTTATTTTGTATAGTGTTTTGGAATAAAATTATTCTGTTCAAATAAGCCTCATAGAGTATGGCCTTGAAATAATGTAGTGAAACTGTAGCGTGTCACTCATTAGCATAACCACAGAGGCATTCACTTGTTTGTAATGAATGAAAAAAATAAATCTTTTAAAGTATTAAGTGTACATAGGCTAATATGGCATTGTATAATTTTGAAGCCTAAATTACTGAAAATGTAAAAATATATCAGAAAACCTGAAAATATTTACAGGTTAATATGACCAATAATTGTATCACTCCATTGTTTTCAAATGGATAAAAAGTTAATGAAGATCAAAATTCCTGATATAATATAGTATCAATTTTTAATGATTACAAATAGTTAATACAAATGTAAAAGTAGTTATTTAAAATGTTTTGTGAAAAATATTATCTGTAATCAATCACACATGCATTTTAAATCTCAAATTAAAGAGCTGCCAAAGCTATATATATGTCTGCTTTACTTCTTGAATTACGTCAATACATTAACAAAACTTCAAGACAAAACAAAATATAAAAGTTTTTCAAGGTCTTAATATGTTGTATAATTTCTCTAAGTTTTGCAATGTTTACAGTAAAAATAATTCTCAGCAGACTTCGCTATGTACCATCAATGGTTTCTAAACCATAGCAAAACAATCTGAAGAGCATCTGTGATGTCCGTGGTTGTGGACTCATTCAGCTATTATCATGGGCCAGGGATACAATTACATTTTATGAACATACTCTAATTCAATTTTGTTTAAAATATTGAGATTTAGACTACATCTGCTAAACAAGTTTCTTTTCAAAGAAAACATCTGAATGATAACCTACTAAAAGAGGAGGATACCAACAAAATACTTTAAAAAGTGTTACTTTGACTTAATAATCTTTAGAACACAACAGCATCAAGCATACATGTGTACATGGATATCAAAGAGATTCATGGCCTGCATACCTGTCCTCCTATTAAAGAGCTATTTAAATTTAATCTCATTTCTGGATCTTAATCCACAATCTTTCAGGTTTCAGCACTTCAAGTACCTAACCAAGTAATTATTAAATAGGATGAAAGTTTCCACCTCTATCACCCTTTCAGGCAGTGAGTTTCAGACATACACGACTGTCTGGATTGAATCTTTTTCCTCACCTCCTCTCTAATCCTTCTACTATAAATACTTTGCCCTTGTTTAGTGACTTCTCTGTCAATTGAAAATGATGTTCCCATTGACTTTATCTGAGCCCGCCCATAATCCTACACTCTCCAATTTCATCTTCCATTATTCTGTTCCAAACACAATAGCTTATTCAATCTTTCCTCTTGGTTAAACATCTCGAATCATGGAAATATCTTTTTAAATGCCTTTGTATCTTTTCTAGGGTGATCACAATCATTTGCAATCAGTTTTCAGAAACAGATGACGGCATAAGAATATAATTTGTTTTCTGAGGGACGGTAACACTCATCTGCCTGTCAGTATTTGCTTAATGTGTAGAATATAGAGGTTTCAGTACACTAAGTCCAAGGCAGAAATCATCCACCCTGTTGTTTCTCCTGTTTCCAAGCTCTTTCTCCTTGCACCCCCACCCCCCACTTAAATTACTGAGGACAAGTTAAAAAGAGAAGGAGGAATTAAGTGAACAAAAACAGAGGTTGCTGGAAAAGCTCAGCAGGTCTGGCAGCATCTGTGAAGAAAAAAAATCAGAGTTAACATTTCGCATCCAGTGACCCTTCCTCAGAACTGATGGTAGCTGGGAAAAAGCTGGTTTATATGCAGAAAATAGGGAGGGAAATGGGGTTGGGAGTAAATGATAGAATAAAGCCCGACAAAAGAGAAGAACAGTTGGATAGACAAAGGAGGTGATAACAATCTGGCCAGGAGGGTGAATAGTTGTTAATGGGGACTGTTAGTGACTAACAATAGATGGTGTGTAATGGCAGACTATGTGGTAACAACGCCGGGTGTGTGGGGTAGGGGGCTGGGACATGGGAGAGTTTAGGCCCTAAAATTATCAAACTCAATATGGAGTCCGGAGGGCTGCAGGGTCCCCAAGCAGAAAATGAGGTATTGTTCCTCCAGCTTGCGTTGAGCTTCACTGGAGCACTGTAGCAAGCCAGAGACAGAGATGCTGGCCAGGGAATAGGGTGATGTGTTAAAGTGGCTGGCAACTGGAATCTCAGGGTCTTTTTTGCGAGCAGAACGGAGATGTTCTGTGAAGCGGTCACCCAGTCTACGCTTCGTTTCCCCAATGTAGAGGAGACCGTTCCTGATTTATAGCATCCGCAGTTCTTTCTGTTTTTATGAGGAAAGTGAGTTTGGAAAGAATGATAATGGTTATTATACTGGGAAATGTTCTTCAAACAAGGGCAGGTAGATTTTTAATCTCCAGCCGAGCAGCAGGAGAGGGAAATGGCTCGCTGGCTTAGCAGAGCTTCTTTCCATGTTGTTCTGTAGGAGGGTGAGCTTTAACTTGGAGATGTTCTGGTCTGGAGAAAAAGGAGCTTTGAAGGCAGGCTCCATGTGCTGGTGACCTCTTCAATTCTTTCCCATCTTTAAAACTACTGCCAGATTGCAGGATAGAAACCAAACCTCACCAGCCCAGCCAAGCCCAGCCCAGCCCGGTTCCCAGACTGACTTGACAGGATACAATATTCACAAAGTTTAGTAATATTTTGGGATGACTGATATAACCCAGTTTGATTTCTAGCAGCTTTTCCACCATCCTCTCCATTGTCCTTCACTGGCCTGCAGCTGCAAGGTGTAGTACACATGATCCCGTCACAACTTATCAGCAACCACTTTCCTGCAACATGTCACCCCTATCACCATGCTTGGCTGTGCAACCACTGACTCCATCACCAACCACTGTCCCCCACATACCCAACATGTCACCACCAACTTTCAGCTGATGCCTGCTAGTTGCGGGGAACACGAACATGTCACTGTCTGTTACTACTCATCTGGTGATCCATTCTCTTCATTTTACAAGGGAAAAGAGTTCAATTCAAAGTACGTATTGACTTGAACTTCTGTGATTTGGTTCTCCAATGATTAAATGTTGATGTTTTGCATGCTTTCTGCTGATACTAATTACATGACTCTCTCCTCGTAGGATTTTCCATTTCTCTCTTTTACTACCTTTGGTATTGTGTTCCTGCATGTGCCCGCCCCCAACTCCTCTCCACCGCTTTGAGCATGGAAGTGTATCTCTTCCCCACTTTTCTGGGCCTTGACTGTGCATGCAGTGACTATAACTTGAACAGTCATTATATTTACTTACCTCCTTAAATGCTCAGATGCATACCAATTAAGTAATGCTGAGAGATTATATACAGGCAATGCACACCAAATTGTTGGAAATTTTACCAGTGTGTGTAGTTGAAGAATGTCCTTGCCAAACTACTGCCATGTACAATCACATTGGGTGGGTCTGAGCACAACTGGTGTGACTAAACTGGAGATTTAATTGCTTCTTACTGTGATTTTGTGGCAAATTTATTTTGTCATTTGTGACTGTTACAGGACAACGCAATATTCCAATAGACTGCAGAATTAAATTACATTTTAATAATGCAGTCCTTTTACTCCTTTACATAGGTTCTTGTTTTTAGTGTTTTTGTTGTAAAATCAGTGTTTAATTTCATTGTAAAAACGTCGTGAAGCAACCAGCAGTACAAGTGTAATCGAATGTTCAAAGCAATCAGCTTGGAAATGAGTTACTTACATCATTCTGTCATTAAACTACAATTTTGTCGAATGTGAGGGATTTTTGAATGTTTATTGCTGTAAAAGTGAAAAAATAATGCAGGCATTAAGTGAGAAATCTTTCTCCCAAACAAATTGGTCTGAGACCATCATATGAAGCACTTTACAAAATTGTTTTCAATAGTCTTTAAAATTTAGAATTTGCTACCTGTCAACTTCCAACATGAAAAGTTGACTGGTCATAAAATCGATCTCGATACATGTTTGTACACGCATAGGGAGTTCCATCGTCATTGAGCTCATTGTAAATCTCAGTATTCAAATGCTGATGATGCAGTAATTATAAAGTACTCAGCTGCTGCATCAATCTTTACTTGATACCTTCAATGCTCATGATGAAAGAAAAGCTCATGACAGAAGTGGCCACAGGCAAAATGCTTTGTATATGCTGATTTGCGAAAATTTTAACCTAGATTATGCAAACCAAAAAATGTGATGAAATTTCAGCTCAGTTACAGATAAGTATTTAGCAATCTTCATACACAAAATCATTAGCCTTGGAGTGAGACTTCTTTGGATGAAATATGCTGCTTGTGCGATGCTGTCCCATTTGCATTTACTGAATTTAAAATATCATTAAGTCATAAAATGTCAGAACAGGCTTGTATAGGTTAACAGGAGAATGTGGAATAAACAGATCAACCTTGATCTTATTGAATGACATAGACATGGAGTCAAGTGGCTTGCTCTTGCTCCTAATCCATACGCTCATAAAAATCTTAGATTGCCCTAACTTACTTTTACATATTCATCTAGGGTTTATTAA